TACCTACCTAAATACTTCCTGTGTGTCAGGTTCTGTGTTGTCATTTGACCCTAACTTTTATTCCTATGCCACAGAGGTGGAAACTGAGACCTAAAGAGCCAGCTTGCTCAGCTCCTGAGCGGCAGAACCAGGATCCCTGAGCTGATATTTTTAACTACTTTACTTCAGTACCCACCGAATGATTGGATAACATTTCTTGGATGCTTGCTGCACAGCAATGAGTGTTTTGAGGCTAAATATGACAGATTTTTAAATTATAATGTTTACAAAAAATTAAAATTGAGTGAATACCAGCAAGGTTCTATTTGTTTCAGAAGTAAGTCCCCCACCCCTGCTGTCATTCCCTTTATGAGGGAAGGGATGGATCTTCTGTTATCTTTAATCCACTAGGAGCAGAGAATTATGATTTGGAAACCTGATACCTGCAATATGATGCTCTTCAATGCCTTCAGGTAACAGATCCTAAAGGCATTTAACTCTGAACAACAAATCAAACTAGGTACTGTGTCATGAATAATAATAATATTTATCATACAAAGACATGCATCAAATATCCTTGCATGTGCACATAAGTAAAACATTAAGTATTAACATTTAAGCATACAGAACTTGCTGTAGAATTTGTCAGTGTATTTAGAACCTAAAAGGAATGCAACAGTCACCAGAAGTCTGTTTGCCATACTATTTTGATACAATTCACACTACTCCCTCCCTGTGGGCTCTCAGTGTATATTTAGTCCTATTTTTCTAATGTGCTTAGGCGACTCAGGGGCCATACGATCCATGTAGGGTCTATTAAACTTGGGGCTCTTAGAAATCATTATTCTTTCTTTCTTTAATATGTCTTTGGATACTTTCAGGTTGCTATCTGGATTTTTAGGAGGACTAGGAAAATGCACTTGAACTTGTGATTAATTTGTTAGCTCCCTCCAGGGCAGAGTGGAAAACAAATTACACACACACACACACACACACACACACACACACACAGAATTGAGGGCAATGTGATCGGGTGCAGTAGCTCACGCCTGTAATCTCAGCACTTTGGAAGGCCAAGGCAAGAGGATCACTTGAGCCCAGGAGTTTGACACTGCAGTGAGCTATGATGATGCCACTGTACTCTAGCCCAGACAACAGAGCAAGACCTTGTCTCAAAAAATAAATAAATAAATAAATAAGAATTGAGGGCAATGTGATTTTCTTGCCAGAGGGAATATGTCAAATATCATCATTATGTATCCTAAAATTCATGTTAAAAAAGCTACTGCTGTCAACGTATTTCTCCATCACTGGGTGGTCATTTGAATGCCTTCGTATTTAGGGACTTGTGAGCTACAGTAAGTACCCAGAGTTGCTAAAGAATTCCTCGTTTCCTTACTCAACATTTCCCTATTTTCCTACTTCCAGATCAATTATCTGGACACTGAGATGGAGATATAATTTCTATTTCTTCTGCCAAGCAAAGAGATTTCCATATTATAAGCAAGACCAATTTACTAGAATCTAGCTGGCAGAAGGGTAAGATGACATTTGGACTCTTGTTCTTCATTCTTTGAACTGGCCCTTCCCCAATGCATTAACAGAGGGAAAGGCTATTATCAGACGTGAGCAGCGATTGGAGCTAATGGATTCACTCTGCTTGGTGGCCCTGGCCCCTGCCACGTTGGCCAGAGCCCCTCCTCCCCCAGGGTGGTTCTCTCCAGTGTAGTTTCAAGAGCAGAGGTCTTCGTGGTTTGTGTTTGGAGACTTTTCCTGCTAACTAAGTGTAGCACAATGGGGAAAACTCCTTCAGCATAATGTTCTTGAACAGGATTTAGGAATCTGTCTCTGTACCTATAAGGAAGCTTCAGGCCCTGGTCCAAACTGAGATGTTTGCAGATTTCTGCCAGCTGAATACCTGGTACCTTATATATAAGCTCTCAAAATGTTACTGTAGGCTTGTATGGAATAAAATTAAGCTCCTTTTCCCTATGAGACTTTTTTTTCTCAGTCCACCTTCCCAACCCCCCCAGCCTCCTTTAGATTTCCAACTATACTCAACACTGTCTTCAAGAACAAACTGGAAATTCATTTACTCTAAAGTAAAAATAACGAATGATGGCTTAACGTGTTTCCTCTTCCAGTGAGATTTCACTATGAATAAAGCCTTAGATAAAATGCTTACAGAACTCCTATCATTTAAAGACAAGCTTTAATAAGCAAAGAAAGGAGAGATTTCTTTTGAAGGAGGGGTTGGGAGATAAGAAGTGACTTGCCAAGCAAAGGACAGCCACTGCTATTGAAACATATCTATTCCGGGGTCAACTGTTTGCAAAAATGACTATTGTTTTCTATAGTTGTTTAGCAAACTAGCGCTTCACCAAAGATCTTCAATCTAGGTACCCTACCAACAGATCCAAGATGTCATCACACTTTAAGAGAGCTTCTAATATTTTAAATTTAAAGTTATTTGGGTTTATTAAAAAAGGAGAAACTTCCCCAAGATTTCATGCAAGTAAAATGCAGAACTTCATGTCGTCCAACACAAATATAAGACATGGTCTTCTAGAGAGCTCTGGGAATACAATAAGGCAATTACATAAGAAAAATTTATTGTAAAGTTATAAATAACAAGAACTTCTTTATCTCTTAGCAAACAGAATAAACCCAGACTGACTCTGATGGTATGAAAAGAACAAGTTATTTACTTAGAAATCATATGACCTCTCCCAGAGTGTTTGGGTCTTATGCCATCCAATAGAATAATAAGTATACTCCAGAGATAAATTAATGCAAGCTGGTATCTTTACTTGCCTATAGATTTCATCATGAATATGCCTCTATTTTGAATTAATTGAATACTTCTCTTTGTATGTAGAATATTCAAACACATCCTTTTACCAACAAATTGAAAACAGAAAAGCATATACATGCTATCTCCTGTATTTTTAATAATTCTAGATTATTTGTTTCAACCTTAAAGTTCTGCACTGTCATATTACAATCAATGTAAAAGGCATGATTCTACTTTGCAATTTTTCAAAATAATTCTTTATTTATAGGTCACAGAGATATGATAACACTGAGTTAACTTTTACAGAGCTGGTGTGTCGAGGATGTTTGGGGTTGAATTGTTTGGTGCTGCATAGATTTTAGTCTGAATACTTTTTACCTAACCTTGCCTTCTCCTCTGATTTTATTATACCTCAGAACAATGTACAATCGTAAGTGTTGCTTTTGAGCAGTTTAAAGTTATAAAACAGAGCTGAGCTGATCAGATTTTGACATTGAATTTTGAACAATACTATGCTTCTCCATGTTTAAAAATAATTTTCTCACACACATATCTCTATATGAAATCTATAGCTACGTTCCTCCGAGAGTGAAATCATTTTTTGAAAATCTATTTCAGAAGCTGGTCATAAGATGTTAAAGAACCCAGTGATTAATTATATAAAAGGAGGTCCCTTTTCACAAGGGAATAACCAGCCCCTTCCCAAATACATTTCTTTAAGTTGAAATTTTCCCCTCTGAATTTTCTTAAATCGTGGCCCTTTCATGTTTTTTGTTCACTTTGTAAAGTTCTTTAAATTTCCCTTCCTTGGTCAACTCTCCAGAAATGACTGACTTCCAAACCCACCACCTCCTCCCGGGAATCAGCTCTATCTTTCCCATTTCCATGCCCTTTTCAATCACACCTGCATTTGCACTCACATAAATGTTTGCTCAGCAGCAATAGACCTGTACATTCTCTCTCCCCTCCTCTCCCCTCTCTCTCTTCTCTCTCTCTCTGTCTCTCTCTGTCTCTCTCACCTATGAGTCATTACAATATCAGTAGAATCACAATAGAGAGTTCAGAACCTGTCGCCCACACCCTACAGTAAGTGAAAGGAACCCGAAGACAGCTTTCTCCTCTTGTAAATGTCAAGTGTTCAGCATGTCTCTACTGGGGGCTGAATAGAAATGTAACCTTAATGAAGTAAGTCCTTGGGTCTGAGCAAAGCTTTGAACATTTGGAGTCCAAAGTTGACTTTCCTACAGGAGCATATGACCATGATTGGTAGTTTTAGCTTCCTCTGTCGTGAGGCTTAACTATCAGCAGCACCAGCTTGGTGTCTGATTTGTCCTGATTGGGTGGAAGAGCCCACAAGACAAACAGCAGAGATGTTTCCGGTTTGTCTCAAGGGTAGCCAGCAGAGCCGTGTATATGGTGAGGAAGGGGCGCCAGGTGGTCTTCCTTCCAAGGCTTCTCAAATATAGCTTCTCTTATCTGAACAATCTGACCTGCTGCGTATTATACCATACACCGTACTAATGACCGATTCTGCTCGGTCAGCAAAGGGTGCAAGAGGGTTGTGGAAAACCCACAATAGGGCTTGCATTTGGCTATACTATGAACAGATCTCAAAGCATTGTGACTGAAAGTCCTTACTGCGGTTTCATAGGGAGGATATCAAACCAGAATAGCCTGAGGTCCCTAACCAAAGTTTCCTTTTGTTGTTGGCATTATTTTGTTACGTTCAGACAGAGAGGAATGCATTTAGGCAGATTGGCACGATCTGTGCTGGAGATTTGACCAAGCAATCAGAGGCAAGGAGACGAAGAAGGGCCAGGGGAGAGGGGAGGAGTGAAATCAAACGTGCCCTCTGTATTTCATTCCAGAAAATAGTTCACACTTATAATTACCCACCTTGTTTTGCAGCTTAGGCTAAAAGCGGCGTTGCGCCAAACCCTACCGGAGCAGCCTTCCTGATTAGAAAGTACTCCACACCTTGGAGAGCCGAGGAGACATGAGAATAATTTTAAATGCAAATTAAATTGAGGGGGTAGTAGAGAAGAACACATAAAAGACAGTAAAACAAAACCTTTCAATTTTCTTAAATTAGCAGTCTAATGTGTTCTAAAGAGCAGTTCCACTCAGATCTCTTCTTAGGGGTTGCATTTCATCACAGTATAAAATGGGCAAATCCATCACTTCCCTCTGCTCAGTGCTTTTGAATCAAGACTGAAGGGAAAATTAGAAGCTGTTCATTTGGGCTTGCAGGCTCAGAAGCGTTGCACAGCTTTTCGCTCAGTGCTCCGCGGCGTCCTGTTGAAAGGGGTCAAGCGCAGGTAAGCGTCTACTAACTTCAAGGCTCTTCCTTTCCTATACCTTTTTGGCTAGTTTTCCTTTGGGGTGGGGTCTCCCCCCAAATCTATGCTATGTTGCATCTTTCAAAATCTGGGAAATTTCACATAGCTTTTTAAGCTTCTTTTCCAGTGACTGACTCGCAGAAGGAAAGAGTTATTTTCAGCCTAGATGCCGGTGACTCTTCTGTGTATTAATTATAACAGGGAATGTCTAACATATGCTAGCTAGGATGGCCCTTCCCTAAACTCCCCCCATTTCCTGCCACCCTTAGGCCAGCATTAGGGTAAGAATTACTGCCGTCCGACAATTTCTAGACAACTTTCCCATTACATTAATTTTTTAATCATTTAGTATTCTGTTGTGTTATAATTACAAATGAAACTGAGATCTGAGATTAGAAAAATAAATTTATTAAGCCATGCATCCATTTTTTAATGACCGTGATACTTTTCTACATAAAAGAGGGAGGGGGCCAGGGAATGGCCCTACATGATGGTTACATGTAGATTTTGATGGTTTTCTGCCAAAGTTTTACACGGGAAACTGTTAATTTTCTTCCTTCACAGGGGAGGGTGCAGAGAGGCTGAGGCTGGCGTCACCTTCTGTTGCTAAGGTAACGTGCTCTGGCCATTTTATCTGAAAAAGGAAGTCCAGTGGATGGTATGCATTATTCATCGCCGTGCTAATCAAACAATCAAAATTGTTTACTTTCACCGGGAATATTTAGCGAGATCAAAGACACTCTGGCTGAAACTGCTCTTGTTTTACTGCCGACAGTTAGCCCTTGATTTTTTTGCAGTAAGTATAATTTGCTGTTGGGGTACATTTGGGTATTTTTAAAACTTTCCTCTTACCGGATTTGGTTTCTTAAATTAAAATGTGTGCTGTTAGAAGGAGAAATCAAATGGATTAGCCATCTGAGCTTGATTTTAATGACTTGGTCTTGTTAATTCTTTCCAAAAAATATCCTGCAGAAATAGAGATACTTCATTTGCGCAAGTATCCGGGAAAGGCTACATAGGCTGGAAAAAAGAACCCAACAGGCTGAATGTTTTTTGATGAAGTGGATCAGCTTTGTGACAGGCTAGGGTATGATAATGTTATAGGGATCATTGCAAGGCTGCAATAATTGTCGCAGCTCTACAAACTACAATTCTTTCTCAAAAGCATTCTGTGCCAGGTGCAGGCAGGTGACAATCCTGTAGCACTTTATAAATTGTGCTGGAGGGAATTGCTAAAAAGGAAGGAATTGAAGGCGTTTCTGCAGCAAATATGTCAGTGTGTGTCATAAACGCAAGGCATCTATGAGTGGAGGCTCGGATTCCCAGGCGATCTTCCCTGCTCCAGGGGAATCTGAACGTGCCCGAATCAATTGAGGATCAACACTCACAACGGCTGACATTTAATGATGCCATTTATCAGACAGACGTTTTGAAAACTGATTGCATGTGAATTTAACAGCATATTTTCCTCTTGATATAGAGCAAAGAAAGACTGGTATGTTATCTCTCTTTAGCCTGGATCATCTGTTGTTGTTTTTTTCTCTGAGTAGAATATATTACTTTTAATGAATGTTGGCTAAGTGTTGTTTTTTTTTTAGATAATAGGAATGCTATGTTGAAGGGAGCTTTAGAATTGGAAATGTCAGTGAAATAGTGGAATGTTATAATGGAATATTCTTATTCAAACATTTTAAAGTACATATATATGTACACACTTGCCAGTTTTAAAATATTATAGATTTTTTTTTTCCCTCTTTACAGGCGTCCAAGTGAACATTTTCTCTCCAAACTCTGTGTTTGGAACATCAAGGATGGATTACCCCAAAATGGATTATTTTCTGGATGTCGAGTCTGCTCACAGACTCTTGGATGTTGAGTCGGCTCAAAGATTCTTCTACAGTCAAGGAGCTCAAGGTAACAGCCCGGGAGAAAGAGAGGAAACTCTCATTCGCATGCTGGTTTTCTATTAACGGTGCCAGGTCGGCTGTAGCAGTTTAAGCTTTGCTCTGTAGGTTCAACAACCGGCATTTCTAAATTGATAACCTCTACCAAATTGCTGCTAGAATGGAGGCAGGCATATGACAGAATAAATAAATCCACACTTCTTGGATGTGGTTTAAAAAAAAAAACATACCCAACTTTTGGTACAAATGCCCCTCAGAAAGCTGTGTTAGAAAATGATTCCCCCATCTCCTGGTATACAAAGCTTATGTCTGAAAGAAATCAGGAATGCTTTTCCCTCTGGAAAATTTGAAGTTGCAGCCACTGCCCTTGAGGAGATCTTGGGGCATCGTGACCCAGCTGAATGGAATCCGGCCGGATTGGGGGCTCCTGAGATAAGCACAGAGCTTCTATAGCTGCCTTATCTATTTCAGATGAATTCAGTTACTGCCTCAGAGAATTAACAGTACACATTTGGGGAGCAGTGAGGAGCACGCCTGTTGGGAATTGTGGCTGATGTGTACATTTTTATTACATATTTCGATTTGGTCCAGTTTGCTTCCTGATGATGGGTATGTCCCAGGTGGCATAGGTACATGGTACACTGACAAGGAAGATGCTGTTCTTATTTCTAAATAGAAAAGCAATTAAATTTTCAGAAGTTACAATGCAGAGCTGAGAAGAAAACACAGTTAGCTTTTACATACCTGGCATCTTTCTCTGTTAGATGGTGATGGGCACTTCAAACAGGCCACTGATAATATCCTGTCTGGGCTTTCCCCAGTGACCTTCTGAATTGCTTTTACTCCCTCTCAAGCCAATTTCTCATGGCGACCTCGGGGGCTTGCAAGCCTGCTTCCCTGCTTCCATTTTCTAGGCCATGACCTCATCTTCTTAAAGACGAAAGGGGCTGGAAATGATCTGGTTGATTTGCTGGGGTCCGTGTGCTCATCAATAGAGTTCAATCAATCAGCAAAGGTGATACAATAACTAATTCTCCTCATCACTCTGGGTGTCGGGAGTCAGCACTGCTACCCTCGATCACTTAGAGAGACATAAAAGTTACTGAAGGAGAAGGGTGAGAGACTGGCCAGAACCTCCAGCCCCTTCTGAGTCTGCAAATAAGAAGATGCTGGCAGTAGATGTAGAATGGGGGCTGGAAGGGAGCAGGGTGTGAGGCCAGGCTCGGTCCCACGGCCAGTGCTGAGGTTAAACACTGCTACATCATCAGTCCCTTTGACTTGAACGAGACAATACTGTTCTGTGGTGGGGTCGTCCACCTGAGCTGCATAGCTATTAGCAGAGCAGACAAGGGGAGCAACAGTTAATTAGAGAGAATAAAGATGGCCACTCGGTCTTGCAGTAGGGACAGTTTAAGCCTTTAAGAAGACCATGGATGCCAGGCTTTTATGGAAGGAAAGCAGGCAGGCTGTGGGAGGCTCAGGAGATTCAATCAAGGCAGCCTGCTGGTTGTCAGCAGATGGGGCTGGGGGTGGAGTGGTCAGAATTGTCACCATCAGTGACTGTGGTTTAGACTCCAGAGCTGGAAGGACTAGAAAATGCATGGGAGGTGGTAGCATAAGCTACCGCTGCTCCCTGGTATCGTGTTCATTTTAGGGTACTCAGAATGATGTTCTAATCAAGGAATCCTGGGTTTACAGGAGGGGTGGGGGTTCCTGATATATCCTCTAGGTCAGTGTTTCAAAACCCCTAGACTTCCTGAATCAGAAATCCAGGTGTAAGGCCTAGGAGTTTGCATTTTTAGCAAGAGCTCTGGAGATGGTTACCTAGCCAGCACATTGATCTAGGGACTGCATTTAAAAACCCATCCACCTAGTCAGTTTTCTCTCCTTCCACCCCCAGAGCAGGAACACCTCCCTCAGCATTAGAGGCAGGATCATACAGTGGTCACAGTCTCTTCTGTAAAATGGAAACAATAATAGTGCCTACTTCACAAGTTGTCAAGAGCATTAATGAGGTAAGGCAAAGTGCTTAAAACAGTGTCTGCCACATAAGAAACACGACATACAAGCAAATCGATAAAATAAGTATCCTTGGCAAAAGGCCATCCTCCTTGTTTGAGACTTCATAAGGAAGCCACTGCCTTGCAAACAAAAAACGTGGCCTGCTGAAAGTTTAAGGTGTTTTTAGCAAAAACAAAAATCTAGAAATTTTAAATAAAATCAAGAACACAGTGATTCATTTCTTGTCCCATCAAAACCCAACTCAGGGCAAAACTGAAAAATTGTAAAATTCATCTTGGTGCTCGGCTTCCATCTTGTCCTTCATTTTATTTTAAAGATGAGAGGCCCTCGCCATCCAGCACCTTCCCTGAGCCCCACCACCTAGGGCCTATCACCCCAGGAGCCTCCTTCCTTCTGGAGCGCCGCTTCTACTGTTACTTGGGGCTAGTCACTGCGTTGCACGGGTTCCTCCACTGCAGCTTCCTTCCACTTTGCACAGGCTCCCCAGTCTTGCCTGGACAACCAGCCCCTAGGCTGGATAAAGGGCTCTGAGTGAAAGCTGAGTCCTGTGGCTTGCAGCCCTTCCATTCTAAGCCAACTGCACACATGTTAGAGTGCGTGACTCCAATCTATGTCTAGCTGTTGGCAGAGCAGACAAGGGCAGTATGGTAGCCAGCATTCAGGGCAATTAGGGTCGTGTGCTGCTGCTGAATCACACCATGTAATAGTTCTCTACTCAGCCAGTCCAGCCGGGTGCAGAGGACATTAGTAAGGTTGAGTAGCTTCAATTTGATCTCCTCTTCTAAAAAGAAGGTCTAAGTGTAAGTACAGTATGGAGTTAAGTACCTAGGCCTTGGGTGACCCAAGACTTGGTTGGCTAAACTGTTATGTGGTTATTGTATTTTTTGAGTTGTCCGTTCTCACTGCTATGCAGGTATTTCTATAGGCTGAGCAAGTGTTATTACAGATGTAAATAGTTTTAAAAGGCAAGGCAAGAAAATCTGAGTTTCTCTCATTTTCCACATGCTGGCCTTTATATCAATTTACTTACAAATTCCTAAAGTTCTGGGAAAACAGTACCTTTTGTATTAATAACGTACAAAATGTTTATCCAAAGCAACAATATCAGAATTATAACGTTCTTAATCCTATCATAGTTGTTTTTGGTTTTTTTAGTTTTTCTTGGAAAGTGGCAAAAGCCTGCCCCTGAGTAGAGGATGTTTTAGCTAGTTAAAGCAAGAGCAGTCCAGGAAGGTGAGAAGAAGAAAAAGAGGGAAAAAAACAATGTATTAAATCTATTCTGAGACAGGTTCTATTGGAAGTCCCTGAGGTTTTCAAAGGTCAGTGATCTGTTCTGCTGAATAAAGTAGCCTGTTACATTCTCCCATCTCCACTTCTCTGTGCTTTGAGCCCAAGGTGGGGAAGATCAGCCCCCTCTCTGGGGATTCCACATTAAAAGCATGATGTGCTGCAGAGGGCAGAAAAAAGCCCAGGATCATCCTATTTACTCCCGTCAGTGAAGGGGGCTTTCCTCATTAATTACTGGGCAATTTGTCAACAGTAAATCCTGACACAGAGGGAGTTCTGGGAACGTCTCCTTTAACTGAAAAGGAAAATTCCGGAAGTTGGAAATACACATGGCTTCAAAGATCAACTATGCCTTGACATCACATAAGTTGAGTTCCCCTGTCATTCAGGTTTCTGACAATGATGTCCCTCACACTCAACTCTACAATTTTGTAGTGAACAATTGAACTGGTAGAGAAGTCCTATGAAATCACAAAATTAGCGTCCTGAGATTTTCCCGTAGAAATGGACATTATGGATCAGTGATTCTCTTGGCCCCCTCCCTAAGCCAAGTGAAACAGAGCCTGTGGGGGCCAGACCGAGGCCCCAGTACTGCATCTGCAACAAGCCCCTGGGTTATTCTGATGAATAGTGAAGGCTGAGAACCGCCATCATGGATCATCAATCGCTTGCTACTCAGAGTGTGATCACAGGCTAGTAGCACCAGCTTCATCTGGGAGCTTGTTAGAAATGCAGAATCTCAGGCCCTAGCCTAGACCTTGACAATCACAATCTGCATTTTAACAAGATCACCAGGTAATTTATGCTAACGTTTAGGAAGCAATGATTGAATCCAGTGCACATTAGAAACACCTGGGAGCTTTTACGAACTCGAGGCTGGAATCCACCGCAGACCAGCTGAACCTGAATCTCTGGGGCTGAGCCCCACACGTGGGGATCTTTCTAATTGCTCCCAGGTGATTCAGGGGCGCAGCCAGGGCTGAGAAACTACTGACCCCCCCTTTTGTAATAAAGGAGGTTTTAGCACACTGTGCAGCTATACTTGTCTGCATACCTTTCTCTCCCTAGGTTTTCCCCTTTAAATGAATCCAAACCATTGGAAGGGTGCAAATGGCTTCAGAAAAGGACTATGTCTCAAGGGCTGCACTTTGCATGTTCATTGTATGCATTAATCCTCAAAGAAACTTTGGAAAGTAGGAATTATTATGCTCATGTTACAGACTAGAAAACTGAAGATTGACGAAGTGAAGTATCTTGAAGATAGCAGTAGAGGCAGGATTTGGAGTTCGAGTATATCTGACTCCAGTGTATTTTGTTTAAGTACTTCATGCCACATACTGGACAGAAGCACCTTCTCATCTAGCCAGGTTGATAAAATCAACCCTGCAGGTCAGGGAAGGTAACTCCTGACCAAATTACGCTTCCAGAGATGGGGAAGGTGAGGCCCAGAGAAGCTCTGCCATGAGCCCAAATCACACAGCTTATATGGAGAGGATGGAGAGCTCAGCTTACCACGCCCATGCCCTTTTCACTGCGCTAGGTTTCTTTTCTCAAAGACAATCAATATCTTTGGACATTTAAATTACCTTTTAAAGGGGAAATACATTAAAATACAGCCAATTGACTAAAGTCACTAGGCAGTCAAATTTATGACTCCCACTAACAATTTCCCCTCTTTTATCATTTTAAATACCTCTTGGC